TGAGATCATTTGATGATATTAATTTGTTGCATGCATTGTTGTAATTGGAACCTGTCTGTTTTTCAATCAAAAGCTGAAATTATATGGTTTAACTCTTTCCCTGCCCGTCTCTCCCGCGGTGAGTGGGTGACGAACTCCTTGTGGTCCGGGTTCACTCCCGGGGGTGGGCAGAAAAGCCACATTTCTTCCAGATTTACGGTATTTAAAAATGGAATCAAGGCCGAAAGGTTGCGATATCCATAATACCGAGCCTAAGGGTTAACAACTCATGGCTTCTGGATACTTAAAAAAAAAAAAAAAAAAACTCTTTCCCTCTTCAGTTCTTCTGTTATGTTTTTACGTATACAGCTTCTCATCAAAAGCTGTATTTCTCAGCTCTATTAGACTGAATAATTGCTCATATAGGATACAACTTTAACATGGACAGTGTGAAAATCAGAACTATCTGGGAACTGAAAGCATTAGCCTTGCACACAGCTGTAGTGCCTTGGCCAAATGCTTGCCTACTGGTTCAAGAGTCATGGGTTTGAATCAGCATCAAGGTGTATGTTTATTGTTAACCTTGGCTGCCAAGTCAACTCAGCCTAAAATCATCATCAAGTGCCTTTCCAACAGCATGTATCAGTTCAGGTGCTGACACCCCTCCATGTCATGACAAATGGCTGTCAGGAATCTTCTTGTGTCTCCTTTTGTTTTTCCACAGATCTTTCCTGTGGTCACATGCTTTAAGTTTCCTTCTTCTCATAACATGACCAAGAACTATTTTTCTTTGTTCACCGGCTATAAGCTGGAGCGGAAAGTCCTGGTTGTTCATACATTTGGACTTTAGCTCTGTGCTAGGGCCTGAGTTTTGCGTGTACATTGGTTTTACTGGCTTATTTGTGTGCAGCTGTTTATTCCTTGCTGCTCGGGCAGAAAAAGCGGACATTGAAGGAAGTCCCCAATTAGTCGACTCCTACGACATGATTGTTGGGGAGGCAGTGGGTATATTCTTGTTTTCCCCCACATGGGGATGACCAAGAAATGATGACCATCTCTTGCAATTGTTTGTGATAAGTTTTTCAAGCCCTCACCTCTTTCAAAACATCTTGATTGCTCTTTTTGGCTGTCCAGGGAAATCTAAGGATTCTTCTGTTAACAGCCTAAAATAAGCACAAGAATTATCAGAAGCAAAGGTGGCAGGTGTTATGATGACATCAGCCATTAAGTGCCGACAGGTCTTAAAAAATACCGGAGTATGAAAAGGGGTTTACTATTATATTGCAGGCAGTTAACAAAAGGTGTACATAATATGCTTGTAAAAACCATACTGGAGTGAAGGTCAGGGCAAGAAAACAAGAAGCAGACAAGTGGGAAGACAACATCAAGAGATATATGAAAAGCAGTCTGAGAGAGTGTACAACTAAGACAAGAGACAAAGCATGTTTGAGATCTATTGCAGCCAACCTTTAGAGTGCACACTGATTGGAGGTGTGATAGGAAACTGCATGCAAAGTTGGACTGGTCTGTGTTATGGATACTGAGTAAAACGTACTATGGTAAAGGGCTAATTTTTAAGCCAAGAAGTATAACAAAAATACTGTGCTTATCCCAGTACCGGCACCTTTTTTAAGGCATTTTTTTTCAACACTATTATAATGGACAGATTATGGTCAGTATCGGCACCTCTTTTAAACAATCTGAGGGGAGTACCGGCAAACCTTTAAAAATTTTTTTTTTATAAAAAAAAGCTTTGGCTAGCTCTCATATTTTTAGACCTGAAAAGGTTAAGAATAGTCAAAGATTATATAATATGCAACTAAGAGATGGGGTTGTCTGGTAATATTATGAAAGGAAAGATTGGGGGTGGAATAGCAGAGCAGCAATAGCATGAGAGAAATGTTACTGTCAAAAATAATTGTATGGAGGAATATCAGTACAGAACACAAAGGACTGATATATGCATGTTTTCTTCTTCTCAACGTCCACCAACTGTATACTCCGGCAGAAAGTTCTGGTTGTTCGTCCACTTCTACACTTTAGTCTTGTTTCAGAACTTGAGTTTTGCCTGCACATCTGTTGTACAGCTCTGGCTTATATTGTTTGCAGACTGTTGGTTTCTTGCCACTGAGGCAGATGCACTCAAACTTAGAAGGAAACACCCTTTTACAACCTACTTGGGGGGGGGGGGGGGGGGGAAATGGATTCCCCCCCCCCCCCCCCCCACTTGGGAAACTGAAATGTATGAATGCCAACCAGAAGATGTGCTAGCTCAGTAACTAGATGTTTGCTATTGGTCGAAAGGTCTGGTTTGAATTCTAAAAATTGACCTGCGCCTTCAGGTCGACTCAGCCAATGTGAGCACTAGGAAATGTCCTGAGAAGTAAAGGTTACCAGCACTGATTGTTTTATGAAAGTATGGGCCTGGCATTATAGGCCTTATGTGCCAGAGGCACTACTGAAGATTTTTCCATTTGACAATTACTTAGTATAAATCTAGTGATCTCTTTAGAATGCTTCCACAACTACCAACAAAAACATATTAAAAGATCTGATGTGAGAGTAAGAGGTCGCCCTAGTAGCAGATGAACTGATGACATTAAAGACATCAACACGGAATGACAACAGTTATTGCTACCTATGAAGCAATGGCTGACAAGCTGTTGCTTAATGGCAAAAATGGAAACCGATGATGATGGCTCAATAAAAAGGTCTTAGATGGCTCAATATAAAGGTTTTAGATGGCTCAATATAAAGGTTTTACAAGGCAGCCAAGTTACACTCACAATACCATGGCTTCTCACATACCATGCTCGGGACAACATATTCCTAAAAATGCCTATTTCATTAGAAGAAAGGCACAGAGCAGTTGTCAGGTTGTATGTGGCGGTTATGATCAACACTGTGCGGTAGTACTTAGGAGGTTAGCAAAATGGTTTCACAAAGTCAATCCTCGACGTTTAGCAGGCTTTGATTCCCACTGTGGGCGGTTTAGAAAAAAGACTGATCAGTGCTTTATTAATATCCTACCCCAAACAGGGGAAATCCACAGGTCACGGGACAGTGTAATATTTCAGGGGGTGGTAGACTACATGCAGTCTTGGGACCTAGGCTGCACTCCCTCGTAGGCCGTAGGTGGGTTGTGGTAGGGCTAGATCTAGATGTTTTGGGGTCGCTAAAAACATCAGAAAGCCAGGAAACCCAGCCTTACCACCCTCTAAAATGTTGGACTGTCCTGTGGCATCATCTGGGGTAGGATATTAATAAAGCACCGACCGATCTTGTGGCTTTCTGATAGTACTACACGAGTCGCACCATGAAAGAGATTTGAGCCTCACTGCCACATTCCCATAGTAAACAGTGGATACCTTGTAGCCAACCTCCATTGCGGAGACAGCAAAATATTTCTTCAATGATAAAGATCTAAGACTTGAATGAAGATCATTTATTAAAGGTTGAGCGAATATACAAACTATGGACTGAAAACATGGAGAACAACTAAGGCAATTACTAATAAACTATAGACATTCATTAACTGGTGCCTGTGAAGAATAGAGGGAATTAAATGTTATGATATATTCACTAATGTAGAGCTCTGGGAGAGAACTAAGCAAGATCAGTGGACCAAGACGTGAAGAAAAGGTGCTGGCGTTGGATACGACACACTGAGAAAACTGGAGAACAATATAACTAGAATGTCTTTGCACTGGAACCCACAGGGGCATCGGAATAAAGGAAGGCCAAAAAACACACGGAGAGCTGCATGAAATAGCAAAAGATAGAACGACTTGGCGTGAGTTGGTTGAGGGCCTATGCTCTACTGGGGACTAGAAAGGCAGAAAAGTATACAAACTGCTGTCCAAACTAAGACATGTTATTCCAAGACTAAAAAAATTACAATAGCTTTTAAAAATCAAAAGGCAATTTCAACAATAAATCCGAACATTAAATATTTTATTTCAACAGTTATTGCAATGAAAACTCACACACAATTTTACAAGGAGAAAAAAATTACAATTCAAATTCCCAATACTTCATTTATCCCCAAAACATATGCATACCATTCCTACCTACCAGATACTGTAAAAATTGCAATCGTGAACAGAATGATTTAGCCACAGAGGCTCAAGTAAAAAAAAAAATACAAGCTTAACAGAACAAGCAAAACAGAAAAAAAAAAAAAAAAAGAACAAATGCACAACAAATCAAATTCCTTAAAACTGTTGACTAATGATAAAGTGAACATTGACAAACTCTTTTCACCCCAGAAATCTTTGGGGGCAACAAAGGCAACCTGAAAAGACCTTTAAAAAAAAAATTGTTCATGGGTCACTAATAAATTTTACAGATTTAAAAACTCAAGAAATAGGAAAGTAAAAAATAAATACTAATGCAACTGAAAATTAAATAGATTACATACCTCGGGGCCTAAAATAAAATGCATTCGATGTCTGTCTCATATCGTGACCCCATCATAATGTGACTATAAGAAGCAAATTATATAAACCCAGCTCGCTAGCTTAGTTGGTTAAACCTGACTCTGCGGCGACTGCGTGACAAACTCATTGTGGTCCGGGTTCACACCAAGGGGTAGGCAGAAAAGCCACATTTCTCCCAGGTTTAGGGTATCTTTTATGGGATCATGGCTGAAGGGTTGCGACTTCCACAGTAATGAACCAAATTCATGGTTTCTGGATATATATATATATATATAAAACGCAAATTATCATATCATAATGACTATTTAAAAACAGCCACACATAATACATCTGTGGCTTTGGGGTTGCGAACATGCTTCATAATGCCGGGGTGCTGGGTTTGATCCCAGGTGCGGATGATCTGACTTGCTTTAGTTTCGACAACAGCCAATAAATGCTGGGATTGGTTCTGCATGTCATGTAAAGGATTCACAACTAACTTTAACACATAATACAAGGGCAGAGAATGAAAAACCCTCAACTGTTCACAGCAGGTTAGTAGTTTCCTGATGTGCAGTTAACACCACACTGATTATTGTAGCTTTATGTCTTTGCATATGAATCATCGTTCACTTTAGCTTTCCTGAGATTTTCTTTTTCTGCTTCAAATCTGGACTGAAAATCCTAGAATGGAAGAAAAAGCAAGCAAAATAAATTGAAGGATAAATGAATCAAGAACTGACATCAGTGCACTTGGACATTCCCATTCTGTATTCTTCCTGAGTAACTAACAACAACACAACAACTCCCATACTAACAGTGCCAATCGCAACCTGATTAAAAGTCTGCATAGGGACTGTGTGGTCTCGAGGCATGGCGTCTGCCTCCAGTGCTGGAGGTCCCGAGTTCAGGCTGGGATTTTTTTCAACATGACTTCTAGTAATTTTCCCTGGTCTATGGGAAGCAAGACCGGACACCTTTGCGTATTACTGCGCACTTTAAAAATCCCTTGGCAGAAAGAAATCGAAAAGAGTAGCCTAACAGCGCTGCCCGGTCAAAATTTGGAGTTAAAAATCTCCCCAAAATATTTCAGGATCCCTGCCGGTGCTACGGAGCTGAGCTACTTCAGACCCAGACTTGAGTTAGAAGTACAGGGTTTGTAGCCGACCTGGAAACTTGAATTTAACCTTGGAATGGCAGCCCTGACCTTGAACCTTAGTTTTCACCTGGAATTTTGACAGTCGCAATGAGATCATTGGGGAAAACCTGCTATTTTCGGCCATTTGGCTAGTTTTGGCTACTTTTGTTTACGGTCATTTCAGGTATGGGGGCAACTGATTATCGGCCATTTTCAGCTGAAATGGCTTATTAAAGGCTAGGAAAGGACGGGCTGTGTTGCAGCAGCATGGCATGGGGCGGGAAGGAGCAGTCGCCGTCTTGTGTGCCTTTATTTCTAGCATGCCCGACAGTATTAATACTATAAACAGTTACAGGGCCGTGGTTTCTAGATACAAGGATTACATTGGATCTTTTATCTGGATACAAATAAGCCAGATCTGAATACAAATAAGCCTGACTGGATATAAATAATTAACTGGTCTTCTCAACACGTGTCATATCCAGCAGCAGGGTTTTCCGTCACCTCTTATCATCTGTTTGCCTTTAAAAGAGCAGTGGGCACGTGTGCGTGCTTCACAGCTAGGCTGCAATATCACAACACAACTGATTTCGTGAATCCTTTAATTAGTCCCACTTTACAAGATCAAGATGCTTCTTAAAAGACAATTGGTTTATCCCCCCCCCCCCCCAATAGGGCCACGGAATCCATGCGGCATATACAGGTGTTTAGTTCCTCATCTTGAATTAACTAAAAAAAAACAAAAAAACACATACACACATGTAAAGGAAGTAATACATTACCTCAAGCGGACGATATAACATATGAACACACTGTGCGCCAGCAAACATCGACACACTCGCTCCAATAACAGCACCAATATAACGGGACCATGAAACTCCACCCGGCATCGTCATTGGTCTCTTTTGGTAAATAATTATGTCTTATAAAGTTCACGTAAATACACGATCAGTTCAAGTAACTTGCTGACTTTACTATCATTAACTGTGACAGTTTTTCCACATAAGGTAGTTTAATATGGCTGGAGATTAATTTGCTTCAGATTTCAAAGCTCGTTCAGCTAGTTTCTTGGCTTCTTTCTCCTTGTACACTTCATCTGAAAAAAAAATAAAATCCATACAATATTTTTGAAGAACAGAAGCTGAAGAAGCAAAGTGTTAAAAACATTTTAAATGCACACAAATATCTCATTCAACTCTTTTGGTTAAAGTTAGCTGTTTGCAGAACCAACCCCAGCATTTGTTGGCTGTTGTGGTTTTTCTTTAGGCAAACTTTACATTTAGCAGTTTGCCACTGCTTCTGAACAGTCAGATCGCGGTAGCACTATCAAAACAAATGCCAAATTGTCTGCAGCTGGGATTGAACCTGGCACCCTGGCATATGTTATGTAGTGTGTTTGCAAAGGCCAAACCTCAGACGTCAATGATTTCAGTGAAACATCCCTAATTAGTCGACTCTTACAACATGCTTGTTAGGGAGGCATTGGATCTATTCTTGATTTGCTCACAACAAGGCATCAGAACACACATGGATTGGGAAAGTTGGGAAAGGGGGGGGGGGGGGGGGGGGTAAAGATTCAATACTTAACAATGTGTTGCTTTATGATTATGGGAAGTAACTAACTGCACATATGGTTTGCTGCTTGGGACCGAAAGAGTTAAAAGTCAAGCAAATAACTCCTTATCATGAAGCATATGGTGCAAGATCCATATTTTGTATACCAATCAGCAGATTCAACAACGAACTATGCGGAGTAACTAATTGCACATATGGTTCGCTGCTTGGGACTGAAAGAGTTAAACATGAAGTTAATAACTCCTTATCATGAAGCATAAGAGGTATATAGCGCCAGATCCATATTTTGTATAAATCAGCAGTTGTCTGTGGCTTAGGCGTTGCAAACACGCTTTGTAATGCCTGGATACTAGGTTCCATCCCAGCTGTGGACAGTTTGTCTGTGTTGGTTTAGACAGTGGTACCAAGAGCTGACCGTCCAGAAGCAATGGCAAACTCTGAATGTAAAAATTGCCTAGAAAAACCACAACAGCCAAAAAATGCTGGGGTTGGTTCTGCAACGTCCTGTGAAAGATTCACAACTAACTGTATCAGCATTTAGGGCACCAGAACAGAAAATAACTAGATGTGAAATGCGCTGTCTCCACAACATCACTAACAACACAATTAGAGACAGGATTACGAATACCAGCATTACAGAGAAAGTCTGAATTAGACCATGTTCAGATTATACTGATGGACAAAGAATAAAATGGTTCAGAAAAAAATCTGGGAGAAAGGCGAGAGGAAGACCAAGAAAGATATGGATAAACAGTGCAGCTGAAACTTGCAAAAAGATGAACAAATCCATCATCCAAGCCACCCGAGAGCGCAAGACAAATACAGAAAACCACCGCACTGTGTTACAACCTGGTATCAGTGAGATGACAAAAGAAGAAGAATCAGCATTACATGACTGATATCAATCAAATGCTGGTGATCTTTATTTCCTAGATATTGTTTAAAACTATTTCGGCTGAGATGAGCTGTGAGAACAAAAAAAAGTTTTTAATTATGCATATATATATATATAGATGTGCATATATATATATATTATATATATAGGTATATATAGATGTATGTATGTACGTATATATATATATATATATATATATATATATATATATATATATATATATGTATGTATGTGTATATATATATGTATATGTATGTATGTGTATATATATATATATATGTATGTATGTGTATATATATATATATATATATATATATATATATATATATATATATATATATATATATATATATATATATATATATATGTATATGTATGTATGTATATATATATATATATATATATATACACACATATATATATATATGTATATGTATGTATGTATATATATATATATATATATATGTATATATATATATATATATATATATATATATATATATATATATATATATATATATATATATATATATATATATATATATATATATATATATATATATATATTAGCGACTACGGTGTTCGGCAATTGGCGGTCTTTTGGCAATTTCCGTTACCATGGAAACCGTTCGAAACTTTCTTCGCAAATGTCGGCTGGGGTTTCGGGATGGGTCCTAATCTCTCATGAAATTTTGCGATTGGTGTGATTTTCACCCACTATAAAAAGCTGAAAACGGCGGGAAGGAACCCGATTAACAGCGCATATGTACGACAGCCGGACGTCCTCTGTTTTTCTGTTACATCGGTTTGATTGAAAATAGCGCTAAGTATTCAAGGTTGGCTTTAAGGCCTTAAACATTACCAGACATGGTAATGCTAGTTATAATTGAATTCTCCGTCCAATTTTACATTTGAGTATAAAATTTCTTTCTTATCTGTGGCTGTTTCGTTTTACAGTGACATTTTTCATGCAATCGCTATTATGTGGCTGTGTCTGAGAAAAATTGTCTGCCATCTTGTCCAATGAAAACAAAGCCAAAACGAAAGTTGCGCAGTTTGGTTGCGCAGAGAAAACTTCTTGTTTCTCAGACACAAGTTTTAGCAGCTGTTTTTTTACATCTCATCTCCACAAAAACCTACATATCTCAGCTCAGAAATTACATACAAGCCTAAATGAGGTACCATTGGAAAGAGATTGTTTACAGCTATCTAACTGTGCTGGTTTTATTGGTGTTGAGGGCATTTAACAAATTTGACAAAAGTACCTATATATATATATATTATATATATATATACATATTATATATATATATACATATTTATGGCCTGCCTATATTGCGGCCCCTGGCAAAAGCCAGGGTGGGGTTTCAAAAAAAAACAAAAAATGTCGTCCTAAAAAGGGCGAAACTGGGTAACTTTTTACAAGTAAAGTAGCATGAGCAACTAACAAATCATTCAAATCAATGACAATGTCAAGACAGAAACTTTCGTCTTACAAAAATTAACTCCGAGAGGCTTCCAATTAATCATTGCAAACTCCATTGCTGCTCCGACAAGAAAAAACAATGGCATAAACCTGTAAATCCCGAAAGTTTGCTTTCCAGGCCATTTATCTATTAACAGCTGAACGATTTTTATCCGTTTTGCCATTTAAAAGTTGTCAAGGAGAACAACAGAAAATCCACACGCCGACATTACTCGACCTTCCTTATTTTTGTGTTGACGGTAATTTAAAAACTACTCTGACAAAAACAAATCGCGTAAAAACTCTTGCCAAAACAAAACAAAACAAAAAATTCTACAACTTGGAGTGGATGCAATTTCTGACTGCCATAAGTATGTTGAATATCATCACTTTATTATGACATTTTTTTTAAAAAACTTACGTCTGTATAAGGATTGCGAAAGATATGGGCTTCAAATGATTCCCCTAAAAATGACATCGAAATTGGAACTTTTCGCTTGCTGTTGAATATGGGGACAGAGCGCTTATGGGGATGTTCCGAGTGCTGTGATGACGACTCCTAATTCAAATGTGAGCCGCTTCAAGAAGCCTCACCGCACCCCCCCCCCCCCTAAAGTGCCAGTCTTGGCTGATCAGGTGACTACATCACAGGCGCCGACCCATGGTAAGCTCCTCCCCATGGTTTTAAATTTGACCCCTTCCACTATTTCTTTGTCTTAAAATCTGTACGGGGGAGGGGGGGGTAACTGAGAGGGGAGCCTGTCTAATATTTGCGTCGTTGTGGCGCGCCTGCTATACAGTTTTTGTCTTCAGGCTGTACGCAGCGGGACACAGTAAAGGCCTAATATTTTTCGACAATTATGTTATCAGTCAAGATACGACAGAATACATGACAATAACAAGACAGGGAAATAATACCTAATCCTGCCACACACAAGTCGATAACATGAAAACCAAACGAACGGACACATATAAGTACTCGGGGGCAAACTTCAACTGCTACAATATGCTGAGAGAATAAATAACAATCTGGAAATAAAGTATTCTATGCCCTTCAACATCTGCTAAAGTCAAAGTCTCTGTCACGCAACACCAAGATCAAAATATATAAAACGTTGACAAGACCAGTCGTTTTATATGGCTCTAAAACTTGGAGCATAACTGATATTATTACGAATTTTCGAAAACAGTCTAACGACAAAACTTTGGACCCATCAAAGATGCAAACAGCGGGGAATGGAGAGTGAGAAGCAACAACGAATTCATATTCTGTTTAAATCACCAATGATCACTGGTATCATTAGAGCTAATAGACTGAAAAGACTGGAGCACATTAAGAGATATTACTAAAGAATCTATGATATACATAATAAACAAAAAGACAATTATTCATCGGCATTGATATAAAGAAGTAAAGTTTGTTTCGTTTCCGCAAACACAGATTTGGCTGAAGGCTAAATTAATCGACGATATTAACAGCAAAAGTTGGCTTGTTATTGTTTTTTGTTGTTGCGCATTTAGTAATCCTCGCCAGAAGGGGGATAAAAAAATACACACCTGTTTTAGAGAATAGTGCACATTGTTTCATTTGTGAGTAAATTATTAAAATATTGGTTGTTTCTTTCGAGATTCCGAATTCATAGTCACTGACTTGACTTCATTGAGAATTTAATAATTTATTTCATAATAATGAACTGAACATTACCATTACATTACAGAACAGCTAATAAAAAGATGTTTTCCCGCAAATTTGTATATTTTATCTCTAAAATATTTATTAGTTTTGTGTTCTAAATAACTAATTCGTAAAATGTATTTATAACATTCACATATTCAAAAGCCCGAACCCTCATCTATATTTCCACAGAAAGTAAACCCTAACAGAGCCTCACTCATATCCAAAATTCGCATTTCTTTTGCGGCGAATTAGCCGCGTCAAAAGTTGGATTAATTGCGCACGACACTTTAGCGAAACGCAACATACTCTTTTACGAAGATTAAACGGCGGCAAAACTAGGATTAACTACGGACGAAAAATTAGAGACACGCAAGAATACTCCTGACAGCGCTATCCTAGGCAGGGCCACAGTTATATGTAAGTTGTGGACCACTTTTCGCCGACTATAGTGCCACCTCCGAGAGTATCCTCCGCGCCGATACGCGAGGCACGGAAGGACCTAAACTAGATGGCTGGGACTCAGAGCAGCAGCTACCGCTTCTCCTGCAGCTTCCTCAATTGTATTTGCTCGTGAGTCCTAGCCATCTAGTTTAGCCCCTTCCGTGCCGCACATATGTGGCACTATAGTCGCAGGAAAACAGCCATGAGCTACTTCTTCCAGGGCAACTGCCAGCGTTGTCGCATTCGCCACGGTCAAGAGGTGGTTGGGATAGTGGAGCGCCATAGTGGCAGCTGCTGGTTTGAAGTTGTCCCGAGGCGACTGCTGGTTTGAAGCTGTCCCGAGGCGACATGCGCGTACATTAAAACGCGCATTATTGATTATGTCTTGCCCGGAACGAGAATCGCAGACAAGCCGCGCCCTGTTGAAATGGCGAACAGCCCGAAAGAACAGATATTCGGGCACTAGTTGCAACTTCTGTGCCACAATTTTCACATATAAAGCATTTAACTGCCATGGAGAAGGAAATATATGTTAATGAGGAAAGATTGGAAGTGGTGGAAAATTTCGAATATCTTGGGTCACTGGTTACCAACAATGGTGACACAATGAAAGAAATTAAACGGCGACTATCAATTGCTCTTCAAAGACTAAAACAACTGAATAAATTATGGAATTGTACAGATAGAATTACAAAGGTCAGATTTTTAAGAGCATGCATCTTTCCCATTGCAACATACGCCTGTGAGACCTGGACACTTACTAAACAAGCGGAACAGCGCATAAATGCATTTGAATATAAATGTTACAGACAGGTTCTAAGAATATCTTAGGTATAAAGAAAAGAACAAATGCATCCATACTTCAAGAGCTGAATATTGAAGAGGGTTGGCTAGTAAAGACAATAAAACAAAGAAAATTGAAATATTTTGGTCACTTGAAACGTCATGGAGGTCTAGAGAGAACAATAATGGAGGGGTATATGCCTGGGAAGAGAAGAAGAGGAAGGCCAAGGAGAAGATGGGTGCAGGATGTGGCAGATGATCTCCAGATTGGTGTATCAGACGCAGGACATCTTGCTCATGATAGGAAGGTTTTCCGGAGGGTTGTTATGGCAGCGAGGTTCCGCGAAGGACATGCTACTGAATGAACTGTCAGTAAGTAGTAGACTTCGCCCTTTTCCTCATACTTTTCGTTCCTTATATTCTCCGAGCTACAACTTTTAAATCTTTGTAGGGTAGGACGTAATGAGGCTCTGTTAGGGTTTACTTTCTGCGTAGATCATTTGGGACCGTTATTCAGAGGAGAGCCGAAAATAGACAACACCAGTGATTTGTAAATATTGACCTTGATTGCGATGCTGATTTTGCTCTTCCACATCATATTCAACTGAGACATTGCGGCTGTTGCAATATCAAGTCTTTTCTTGTTCTCTTTGGTTGTTTGTTTGTTTAAGTATCCAGAAGCCATCATTTGTTAACCCTTAGGCGCGATATTATGAATATCACAACCTTTCGGCTTTGATTCCATTGTAAATACCATAAATCTGAGAGAAATGTGGCTTTTCTGCCTACCCCCGGGAGTGAACCCGGACCACAAGGAGCTCATCACCCGGTCTTCTCGCAGTCCAGTTTAGCCAACTACGCTAGAGAGTCGGGCTGCTCTCTTTGGTAAAGCTGCCATCCTTGCATATGTGGGAGCCAAAATATTTAAAGGTTTCATTTCATAGTTTTTTCCCTTTTATCTATATGTTGGTGGGTGCTTGCTTATTGTGACTATTTACCAGAATCTTTCTTTTCTCTGCATTGATTTCCATGCCATATTTACGACAGACTGTCTTCCTCCAATGGATATAAATGTTTCATGATTTTCTAGTGTTTCTCTCATTATGTGTTCTGAATACAAATTAAAAAGGACAGGGGATAATATGCAACTTAGTCTCACTCCCACACTGGCCTTGAACAATTTGCCTATGTCATTTTGAATGAGTACTGCACTGCTTGCATCTTTATAAAGTGCTTAAATGGTGTCTGTGATGTTCTTATCGAAGTTGAAATTTCACATTATTTGCCAGAGCTCAACATGATACACACGGCCAAATGCCTTCGTGAAGTCGATAAAGTTATGGAATAGGTCGCGTTGATGTTGTGTTTTTCTATTAACGATCTAACGTTGAAAATTTGTTCTGTGGTGTTTCTGTTTTTCCAGAAACCCGCCTGCTATTTGGCTAGTATTTCTTCAGATTTTGCTTTCAGTCTGTTAAGCAGTATGTTTAGCTTTATTTTGCTTGTGTGGGTGATAAGACTGATAGTTCTATAATTGTTGCAGCTTTTCAGATTTCTTTTCTTTGGCAGTGGTATCACCAACGATTGTGTCAGTTAAGTAGGCCACTTCTTTGTGACTCAAATTCTCTGGCACACTTATGTCATCACCTTAGTTATGTATTCTCCTCTCTATTTCAAAAGTTCAGCAGGGACGTATCCATACCTGACGATTTACCTTCTTTTAATGAGCGTATCGCCTCCTCAACTTCTGTTATTAATATTTCAGCGTCACCAACTTCTCTGTTTTCCCATACAATTGTGTCTCAGACTGCATTGTCAGGCTATGCTTCTTGATTATATATGTCTACAATATTCTGCCCATCTCTCTAATATTGCTGTTTTAACATTATGGACTTGACTGTTCTTATGGGTATCTTGCGTTTTTGTGGTTTGGTTAGTCTTTTTATTGTCTCCTACGCTGCCTTGGTGTTGCCCTGTTTCAGACCTACCTCAGTGAACTCACACTGGTTTTTAATCCATTATTCTTTCGCCATCTTAATTGGTGTCCTGATTTTTATATCAACTATTCTATATTTTTCTTGCTGCTGCTGGAGTTTGCCTTTTGTCCTTTTAATTTCCACCGCATACCGCATAATTTCAAGATGTCAAGATTTTTTTGGCTGCATCAATAGTCCCTCATTCGCGCTTTTTGTCAGCAAGTTCACAATTTCTTCTAAAAGATTTAAAACTGCAAATTTACCTCCTCGAAGATCTCTTCCACTGGAGGATTCTTTAATTTAATCTAGATAGAATCTCACTCGAGTATAGCAGTTACAATGGTAGTTCTTTTTGAGTTTGAGTGTAACGAGAACCATTTTGTGGTCGCTGCCAGTGTCAGCTCCTGGGAAAGTTCTTATCTATGCATCTGTGCTTGGTTGATGCTAGATTTGAACCTTTTTGGAACAAGTATATAATCTTTCTGGTTGTTTATTTCTGCCCTTGGTGCATGCCATGTTGTTCTTCTGGAAATTTTGGGAATATGGGGCGAGACCTATATTTTTATAGATGAATCAGCACTTGTTGGGTGATGTGGTCAGCATCACGCCGGCTGCCTTTACTTCCCAGGACTGTACCCGGTACCCACTCAGGGCTGAGTCGACCTGGGAGTCAAGTCATTTTTGAGGAAAAAAAAAGTCAGGCTCAAATTATAGATTTCATATTATTTCATATATATATATATATATATATATATATATATATATACATACATATAAGAGTTTATGTGCCTTTCAGCTTTCTAAAAATAATAATAATATAAAAATAATATCACTAATAATTATTGTGCAGTTAATCAAGGCTTGGCACCCCAACTCCATTTTGAGGGGTAGGCATCTTAGAGGGCTTAAACATTATTTAGTTGTGCAGTGATAGTAATTGCTATTATTGTGCAATTAAGTAAAGCTTGAGCCACCTTCCAGCCACTAAAAAAGTGCGGAAGTGGGGCGGGAGAGTTTGGGTTAGGGCTGAGCCTACCCCTCCCGGCAATGTTTTGTCTCTGGTGGTACACCTGCTACAGTGTGAAATATACAATATTTAAAATGCCAAAAGTATAACTTAGAAAAATGATGACATTCTGTTAATGTTACACACATGCACACACACGCACATACACACACACACACGTGCATGCACACACACACACACACACACGTGCATGCACACACATACATACACTCTTACTTACTTACTTAGATGAGCCTCTTCTACCATGGGGTGTAGAGGTTTGCTAGAGAGAGATTGCCATAGGTCTCTGTCAGCAGTTTCCATTTCGGCTTTGTTCCGTTCCAGTCCAGTCCTCTTTCAGTCATAGACTATCGAATGTAGTCCTCCCAGCAAACCCTGGGTCATCCTAGATGTCCGGTTCTCTGGTTCTTGGCCTCCCATGTCTTAAGTGATGGCCAGTTCTCTTCCATTCTGCATACATGTCCAAACTGTCTTAACTGTCCTGATCAACTTGAATTTGTAACTTCTGGGTTTCAAGATCCCCCTTTTTGTTCAATTTGGCCATTGACTGGCTGATGAAGGAAGTTACACCAGATAGAAAAAGAGTCATCAGGTGGTCACTCACCTCTATTTTAGAAGATTTGGACTAGACAGATGACATCAGCCTTATATCAAGCCTTCATGTGGACGCTCAGAAAAAGATTGAAAGACTTTCAACAACAGCCCTTAAGATAGGACTCAAAATAAACACTAGTAAAACTAAAGTAATGAGAAATAATTTTAACACAGAAAATCCAATTATCTTAAATAATGAAGCAATAGAGGAAGTTCAAGAATTTATATACCTCTGAAGTAAAGTTACTCCAGATGGAGATTCTGAAAAGGATGTAACATCAAGAATAAACAAAGCAAATCAAGCATTTGTCACGCTTAACAATATATGGAGGTCAAAGGAATTTAATTTGAAGACAAAACTAAGAATATACAAGAGCAAAATTTTAGGAATGCTATTATACAACAGTCAGTGTTGGGAAATGACAGTGGGAATTAAACATAAACTTGAGACTTTTCAAAATAAATGTTTAAGTGGAATTCTACGAATATTTTGGCCAAACAAGATCACAAATGAAGAATAACTGATGAGGAAAACAGAATGTGTATCACTGGCAAATGTTATCAAAGTAAGACGATGGAGATGGTTTGGACATGTTTGCAGAATACCTTGTGACACTCTGGCAAAAACAGCTCTCCGGTGGACAGCAGATGGGAAAAGGAGATGTGGGCGACCTAAGGAAACCTGGAGAAGGACAAAGCATGGAAAATGAAATAATGTAAACTGACAGCAGATCGGCAGCAATGGAGATCACTTGTTGCTGCCTTTTGTGTCAACAGCAACATGAAGAGGATATAGATATAGATAGGGTTTCAAGATCATGATGTGTCGTTGAATATCACCCTGTCTAAAACAATTGTCTCAATTTCTTCTGATCTTTGGTTTGCTCTTTTTACAAAATTTCTGCAGCTTTTTTTTTTTTTTTTACAGAAGCTGTTTATTGGGCTAATCATGGGAGCTGGAATGTTATTCCTTGCCAAGCAGTCCAATAGCTTCTTGCTCCAGGAAACCTTATTAAATACCTTTTCTAGATCCCCAAAAACATAGGTGCATCACTCTTATATTCTAGCAATTTCTCACTCATCTGTCTGAAGATAGAGTCTTGAGTACTTTGGTTTGCTCTGAAACTGCATTGAGCCTGACCCAGACTATGATTGCCACCATTAGTATTGGAACTCTGTGCTGGCTGCTGAAGATGGGGATGTAGTTTTTATGGTAATACACCAGGTGCTGTTTTGTTGATTCTTAACTCCTAACTATCAAAATTATTAGTCTTAAAATGGGCTGAATTGTCTGTTGCATTAATAACACATTAAAATTTTCCTCAACAGTCTCTATTGTCTGTGTGGTGTGAATCACAGAGCAGAGTTAGAGGGTCTTAACAAGCAACACAGGAAACTTCTGCCCAAATTATGGGCTGTATTGACATAAAGAGACGTAACCAAGAAACAGATTCATAATTTATTTTCACAATTTGTGGATATGGAGAATCAGTATGTACAACCCTATTACTGTAAAAACTTTTTTTACACTGTAAAAACTTCTTTTACATTTAGAATTGGTTATTAAAAAGCATCTTGTAATTTTTTATCATGTTCCTTTGTCTGTTCTTTGCTTGTAGGTTTTAACTTATCTTTGTAAACATTTTCTTTTTTTTATGATGATGTGTTTCTGTGCCCTTATTTAATCTTACCTTTATATTTGTTTTATGGGAAATCGCTGTGGTGGAGCAGCTAGATGCTCACCGCGGATCAGAAGGTCGTGGGTTCTCTCCCTGGTGGAGCCGGACTTTCTTTAAAAATAACCTTGGTTCCCAGGTCGACCCAGCCTTTGAGTTTTTTTCTTTGCTTTTCTATATTTCTGTTCTGTTCTGTTTTGTTTTGTGAAAATTTTTCTATCCAACTTTCAGTTCATTTGTTATTCATGTTCCCATATCTTTCCTTGCATTTTTTTTTAAAGCACAGATCATGCTGTCATTACTTTTTAAACATGTAGCCTTTCAGAGGCGCAAAATAAAAATAAAAATTGAAAGAATTTAGTTCCCAAAAAACCGATTTTTTTTCACACAGATCATGCTGTCATTACGAACTTGTAAAACGCGCTGAAAAATCAAGAATGTGTTTTTAAAAAAAAGTAATAATAATTCATCCCTGCTGTAACTTAATTGTTGTTCAGTTTAACTGCATGTTCTTCTTATTCTCTCTCTCTCTCTCTTTCTCTCTCTGTCTCTCTCATATTTTTATATATATATATCTATATATATATATATATATATATATATATATATATATATATATATATATATATATATATATATATATATATATATATAGGTTAGTTGCGTATCCTTTACAGGACGTTGCAGAACCAACCCCAACAGCCCCTGGCTGTTGTGTGGTTTTTCTAGGCAAATTTACATCCAGTAGTTTGCCATTGCTTTCTGGACGGTCGGCTTTCTTGATACCACTGTCAAAACCATCGCAAGGTGCATGGCCCGCAGCTGGAATCGAACTCGGCATTCCGGCATCCCGGCATTACGAAGCGTTCTCATCGACTTAGCCCACAGAGATATATATATATATATATATATATATATATATATATATATATATATATATATATATATATATATATATTATAAAGTAAATATCGGACAGCACCCATGACAGCGTAATAGCTAGATGCTTATCTGCCATCCAGAATTTCTTGGGTTAAAATCTTTATCAAATCAGATAAAAATATAATAACCTTGGTTCCCAGGTTGATCTGGCCCAAAAATGGTACCAGGAAATGCCCAGGGTGGTAAAGGTGACCAATCAACCAGTCTTATGTTAAGCACATCACCCATAAAATGTGGATTGGTCTATAAAAATATGTCTCTACACCTGATGTACCAGTGATGTGAAAAAGGTGCTGTACTTGGTCAGTGATGATCATCTTGACTTGTTAATTAAAAAAAAAATTTAAATTCAGTGTCCATTAAAGTGCCTTTTGTCAGCTAGTTAACCGATGTGTTAATCAGTTTGTTTTATACCTACCAGAAACAAGATCAAGGTTTTGGAGTACGAGGTTGAGATCAAAAACACACAATGGCCAATAGTTTACAGTCCGATGTACAATATCTCCTTCTGGGGACTTGAGAAACTGCATCCTTTTGATAGCAAAAAATGGGGTAGAATATATAAACGCCTTAAAGGTACAGTGTGTGAGAAATGTTGCACATAAATTTGTACATTGTGTGAGAAATCAGGGCATTTATATTATTCATGAGTTTACATAATTGTGGGAGAAATATGTGCATTTATGTTGCACATACATTTGTACATTGTGTGAGAAATCTGTGCATTTATGTTGCACATACATTCGAACATGTGTGAGAAATCTGTGCATTTATGTTGCACATACATTTGTACAGTGTGTTAGAAATCTGTGCATTTATTTGAGCATGCCCTGTATTGAAATCTGTGCATTTGAGCATGCTTGGTATTGATTTCCAAACCCAGCAAGAACAAGGCTGTGAGATCACACAGAAAAAATGGTTCAGACAGGCTCAAAGTGCCGCAAGCTAGGTCATACTTTGGGGTGACTCTTCACCACTTAAATCCAAGTCTTTGTGCAGTCACTTTCATGAAATTATTATAGCCTGCCTGCTTGCCAGACTATCGTCTCCTAAAGAGAGTATAGTGAGGGTCAGAGTATCAGAGCAAAAACCAGACTTGTATGGGGTTCTAACTACACTTGGCCAGGAGTGCAGGGCTTGGCCAAGTGCTACTGAAGAATTAGAAATTCAGTAATTGATCCGTGATAATTCCTGCCCAGGTGATGTGATTATCTATACAGTTGGCACTGTGTTGAGAGGCAGAAGAAGTGCATTACACACGAGTTTGTACATATTTAGGAAATCTGTACATTTATGTTACACATGAGTTTGTAAAGCATGTAGGAAATCTGTAGATTTATGTTCCACATGAGTCTATATGGTATGTAGGAAATCTGTACATTTATGTTAAAGTGAGTTTGTACAGTATGTAGGAAATCTGTTCATTTATGATACAAATAAATTTGTATAGTATGTAAGCAGTCTTTGCATTTATATTTCATATGAGTTTGTATCTTCATTCCAATACCAAAAAAGGGTGACCTGAAATTATGTACAAACTATCGAACTATTGCCCTGATCAGTCATGCAAGTAAAATTCTACTAAAAATTATAATGAGAAGACTGCATAAGAAAATGGAAGAAGAGATTAATGTAGCTCAGGCTGGATTTAGACAGGGAAGAGGAACAAGAGATCATATATTCAACATGCGTTTAATAATAGAGAAGTGTAGAGAATTTAATGTAAATCTGTTCTTATGTTTTGTGGATTATTAAAAAGCATTTGACTGTGTACAACATCAGAAGCTTTAAAAATCATGAGGAATATGGGCTTTCCATCACATATAGTGCAGCTCATTAAAATGCTCTATCAAGACCAACAAGCAGCAGTCAGAATAGATGGAGAGACATCAGACTGGTTTGGCATCAAGCAAGGAGTCCGTCAGGGATGTGTGCTGTCACCGTATTTGTTCAACCTGTACGCCGAAAATATAATGAGAAATGTAAGAGATGATATAAACAAGGAACAATATAATGCCCTAAACATCGGTGGTCATGAAATACCAGAAATTCGTTATGCTGATGATACAGTATTACTATCAACATCACAAAATGGTTTAGAAAACTTATTAACCTCACTCCAAAGAAATAGTGAAAATCATAACTTATTTCTTAACATAGCAAAAACAAAGATAATGCATACAAACAAAACTGCCATGGAGAAGGAAATATATGTTAATGAGGAAAGATTGGAAGTGGTGGAAAATTTCGAATATCTTGGGTCACTGGTTACCAACAATGGTGACACAATGAAAGAAATTAAACGGCGACTATCAATTGCTCTTCAAAGACTAAAACAACTGAATAAATTATGGAATTGTACAGATAGAATTACAAAGGTCAGATTTTTAAGAGCATGCATCTTTCCCATTGCAACATACGCCTGTGAGACCTGGACACTTACTAAACAAGCGGAACAGCGCATAAATGCATTTGAATATAAATGTTACAGACAGGTTCTAAGAATATCTTGGGTAAAGAAAAGAACAAATGCATCCATACTTCAAGAGCTGAATATTGAAGAGGGTTGGCTAGTAAAGACAATAAAACAAAGAAAATTGAAATATTTTGGTCACTTGAAACGTCATAGAAGTCTAGAGAGAACAATAATGGAGGGGTATATGCCTGGGAAGAGAGGAAGAGGAAGGCCAAGGAGAAGATGGGTGCAGGATGTGGCAGATGATCTCCAGATGGGTGTATCAGACGCAGGACATCTTGCTCAGGATAGGAAGGTTTTCCGGAGGGTTGTTATGGCAGCGAGGTTCCGCGAGGGACATGCTACTGAATGAATGAATGAGTTTGTACAGCATGTTAGGAACCTGTACATTTATGCTACACATGAGAATGATGAAGAATTTTATGTAGCGGCTAGATGCCCTCCTGCAGATTGGAAGGTCTTGGGTTCGGGTCCTGACGGCGCCGGACATTTTTAAAAAATGAACTTGGCATCCTAGCATTGAGTGGGTTCTAGATAAAAGTCCTGAGAAGTCAAGACGGCCGGCATGATGCTCACTGCATCACCCACCAAGTATTGATTGGTCTGTAAAAACTTGGTCTAGTACTTTATGCCCAAAATGCCTAAGGGTGATGAAAAGGGTCTTTTAATTGACTTTTGAGTTTTATAGAGATACTGAGGAAATTGGGAATGAAAAGAGAGTTGCTAGGTGAAATAAAAAAGAGACAAGCGAAATATTTTGGCCACATTAAAAGACATAACAGTATTGTAAAGATCATCCTAGAGGGAAAGGTTTAAGGTAGGTGAGCAAGAGGCAGACAGCGTTACAAGTGGGAGGATAACATCAAGAGATGGACGAACAGCAGTATGAGTGAGTGTACATCAAGGGCAAGAGACAGGGCTTGTTGGAGATCCATTGCAGCCAACCTTCATTATGGAGACGACACCTGATTGATTTGAGTTTTAGCCATTTGGAGAAACTGCCCTCCCCCTCCCCCAACCACCAAATTCATATGATGTTCACATGTTCACAAAACAATCTGCTCACTTTCTACCAGCTTCCCCTTTATTAAGCTTCTTGCATCTTTTATAGGTTAGTTGCGTATCCTTTACAGGACGTTGCAGAAGCAACCCCAAGAGCTCCTGACTGGTGTGTGGTTTTTCTAGGCAAATTTTCGTCCAGTAGTTTGCCATTACTTTCTGGACGGTCGGCTTTCTTGATACCACTGTCGAAACCAACGCAAGGCGCATGGCCCGCAGCTGGGATCGAACCCGGCATCCCGGCATTACGAAGCGTTTGCATCGACTTAACCACAGAGCTGACTTCTTAGAGGATGACATAAATTAGGTTGCAACATTTGCATGCAAGGTTGCATGCATCTCTTATTTGTAATGAACCTTTCCCCTGTTCTATTTCTGGTATCCATTTTAAGCTGAATTGACCTGGAAGTTTGGGTCAAGTTTTTAATTACCAGTGACCAGTGACCATTGAGAACGGAAGATGGGTGAATTAGGGTTGACAGATTGAAAAAAAAAAAAAAAATTAAATCAGTAATCAATTAATCAGACCTCCTGTTTCAGTCATCTTCTTCTATTTATCAAAATTGCTTATAGATGCTGGGATGTTGAATGGCATTCCCGTTGTTGAGCCACTGGAAATCTCAGAGGAAGAGCTTTTGTGTGTGCACAGTCAGGCATATCTAGACAGCTTAAAAGTAAGGCCAGTGGATTAACCCTGAATTGTGCTCAACCTAGTTTCTTATTTAACCTAATTGAAAATTACCTTTTCCCTCACCGTCTCTGGTTGTCAATCTCTCTGTCTGTCTTTGTTTCTCTCTCTCTCTCTCTATCTTTCTCTCAATCTCTCTCTCTCTCTCTCTCTCTCTCTCTCTGCTACCTGCACTCATTAACCTACTTTCAGCTTATCCTAAACTGACCTGTTACCTACCTAACTGCCTATTCACCTGTTTGCCTGCGTACCCACCTACCTGTCTGTCTGTCTGTCTGTCTGTCTGTCTGTCTGTCTGTCTGTCTGTCTGTCTGTCTGTCTGTCTGTCTGTCTGTCTGTCTGTCTGTCTGTCTGTCTGTCTGTCTGTCTGTCTGTCTGTCTGTCTGTCTGTCTGTCTGTCTGTCTGTCTGTCTGTCTGTCTGTCTGTCTGTCTGTCTGTCTGTCTGTCTGTCTGTCTGTCTGTCTGTCTGTCTGTCTGTCTGTCTGTCTGTCTGTCTGTCTGTCTGTCTGTCTGTCTGTCTGTCTGTCTGTCTGTCTGTCTGTCTGTCTGTCTGTCTGTCTGTCTGTCTGTCTCTGTCTGTCTGTCTCTGTCTGTCTCTGTCTGTCTGTCTGTCCGCCCCCCTCTCTCTCCCTCTCTCTCTCCCCATCCCTCCCCCTCTCCCTCTCTTTCTCTGTGTATGGGTGTTGTAGGAACTTTTTGTAGATGAGAAAAAACAAAGAATAACAATATAAGAGAACATTCATTGAGCTTTCATGTATTAATTAAAGAGTCAACAAGCTTTCATTGTTTGTTTAGTGAAACATCCCTGTTTGGGGTAGGATATTACTATAGCACCGGTGGAGCATAGGTCCTTTCCCAGCTCATGCCATTTGTAGACTTTAAAATATTAAAGAGTCCTTTTCATGCCAGTTGCACATCAGGTACCATAATTGTCTGTGTACAAGATGCACTCTTTTGTTCTTAAAATTAGGCTGCGTCTTATGTAATGAAGGTGGGTCTACATGCAGTTTTTTTTCATAGTTGCCTTCGAGGGGCTTTAGAGATGAAGTGCATGCAATAGAAAGACTCTCAGATTACCATGGACAAAGAAGAAAATAAATTCTGACATTCTAAAAGATCTGAACATCAAGGAAGGTTGGCTAATAAACAGCATCTTTTCTCGGAAGCCGAAATATTTTGACCATATCAAGCACCACAGCAGATTTGAGAAAATGATAACAGAAGACATGGTACCAGGAAGGAAGGACAAGTGCTGATCAAGGCAAAGATGAACACAGGAAATAAGTGACTCTTTGGATATGAAAATGCATTAGTTTGAAGGGCTGGTGAGAGACCGAGTTTTTTTCAGGCAGACTGTGATGAGAGCGACGTTCTACAAAGGACCTGCTACATGATGATGATGATGATGCCTGCAGTATGGGTAGAGATAGTTAGTAGCATTCCTACACTGCGATTTTAAAACTCCACGTGATAAAGTATGCTTAAGAACATGGCAGTAGGTGAGCAGAATGTTATTTCGGACTTCCAATTCCATTATCCTTGCCGAACTATTTCCCCCCCCCCCCCCCCCCCCCCCCCCCCCAAAACGTTAATACGCAGCAGGATGTTTTGTGCAGACTAAACAGATGAAAGCGTGAACAACATGGAAAAGGGGCAAAATGGCAGGAATTTGAGATTTATGTATTGAAATAGGAGCAGGGATTAAATTTTGAGTTTTTAATGGAAAATTTCTTTCAGTTTTTTGGGGTGTGTCTTATACAAGGAAGAGTCTTGTTCACTGGCAAATGCAGTATATGGTGCCAGTCTCATATATTTGTAGTCCAGTTGACTCTTGATGGATGATGTGGTCGGTATCACGCTGGAGTGTCAGCCAGATCCCCCGGTCACTTTCCACTGTACTATATCTGCACACCATAATTAGCTGTTTTCACGTACTGCTAAGGTCCTTGACCACATTTAGCTTGTCATGCATACATCTAATCACCGTCCAGTCGTGTAGCACTAGCCAGTCTGTCTGTCTAATTATTTCCTTGCACACCTTCATGCTCCCAAGAAATGATCCAAAGGATGCTAAATACCTTAGACCCCTGAAATGATGCTTGCTACTCTGCACAGAGCATGCCTTTGTCCACCTTTCTGAGCTTTGTGTGTCTGTTAAAATGACAGTGTAGTACAAGACACAGTGTATAAGACAGTATGTTTTCCCAAATTTAAACAAATTACAATTAAGGTTATCTTACATACCAAATGTGTTTAAAATATTTATTTTTCAATTTTATGCTTCAAAAAAGGGAACTAGTCTTATACAAGATGGCATCTTAAAAAGGGACAAATAGGGTGTATGCTAGTGATTAGTCCAATAACTATCGGCCTGACAAATGTCCAGTCACATTGCTACCACAAACCCCTAATTATAGACGTGACTAAACGCAATGTTCCTTAGGACACCACACCTGCAGCTAATTGTTCTTTTCCTTGCCTATTGTTGCAGTTAGGAAATTGTGTCCCATCCACCATACTCACTGGATTTAGCACAGTGCCTTCTTCATTCATTACAAACACAAAAGAATCTGTTGCAGTTGATGCCATTTTTCAAATAAAAAAAAACAACAACACATGATCATCTAACTTAAGCCCTAGGTTTCAGGCTTAGACTGAGGACTTTCCTCAGTCAGAATGCCAAGAAGGTAAAGGAAAGATATATGAGGTGTTTTGATTAAATGAAAATTTTTTTTTTGGGAACCTAAATTGATCAGTACATAGAAAAGAACTTCAGTTCACACCAATTTTCATGTATTGTACCATGACTCCTTCATGCTAAAGTGCATAGCCTTTTAATCGCTGTGTGTGTGCGCATGCATGTGCATGTTTATGTGCATGCATGTGTGTGTGTGCGTATGTGCGTGCGCATACACCTGACTGGGTGGAGAACACATAATTCTCTTTTTCAAAGATATTATTTTGCTAAGAACAGTTCCCAATGTAGGTTCAGGGGCCTAGTTTTGGAGAGGAAACATTTACATTCCTGTTGTAAAATATGACTAATTAAGAGTTCGCTGAAAATAGATGTGTTGGGCTGAAAGACGCAGATATTGCAGCCTAGCTGTAAACCACAACATAACTTGCCAACCACCCATTTAGGGCAAATGCAGAAGTGGAGGAATAAGTTAAGAACAGCAGTGGCCCGCAAAGAAGAAACATGATTTAACAAATTAGCATCAAATATAAGACTTCAAATCAGTTATTAAAAGAGAAATAAATTGAAGACATTAATAACAAATCAGGCAAATATGGAGATGAAGAAAGAATAATTAAAGGAACAGGTCAGTTTACCTCTTGAGGCAACAATTTTGATTCCCAAGAAAATCATCATCAATCAGGTGCCATCTCCATAGTGACGGTTGGCTGCAGCGGATCTCCAACATGCTGTATCTCTTGTCCTGGTTGTACGCTCTCTCAGATTGCTGTTCGTCCATTTCTTGATGTTGTCCTCTCACATGTATCGTTGCCTACCTCCTGCTATCTTGCCCTCGACTTCTCTCTCTAATATGATTTCTAAAAGCGTGTTATGTCTTGAAATGTGGACAAAGTATCTTGAAATGTGGCCAAAGTATTTCAATTGCCTCTTTCTTTCCCTGATTCTCTTTTCATTTGTAGTCTTTCCAGAACCTCTGTTCTGGACTGCTTTTTATCTCATGAAATATGACCAATTCTTCTGTATATCTACATTTCTAGAGACTCAGTTCCATTTTCTAGTTGCTTGTTCATTGTCCCAAGTTTGTGCACCATACCATATAGAAGGACTGAGTGTACATAACACACTTTTTTAGGATTCTCATATTTTAGTGTGTTGTTTATTTCTCTAGCTTAGATAATAAGAAAATATAAATAAATTTTGATACACATTGACAAGGCCACCGAAAAAAAAAAAAACAAAAAAAAAAAACAACCAAACTAGATATTTTTTAATTGTCACATTATTTAATTATAACTTGAGCCAGTAAAGTCATGAAACAAAAGTTGAATGCCTTGTAAAACAAATAGCAAATGAAATTGATAAATAGTGAATTGGATGAAATAAAAAAACAAAAAAATGTAAACAAATTTAGAGAAATGTCTTTAACTACAGTGGTATCAAAAGCTTCTTAGCGTTCACCAGCCATAAACTGGTGGAGAGTTCAGGTTGTTCACCCACTGCTGAACTTTGGTCTTGATCCAGAACTTGAGTTTTTTGGGCACATCCATTTTACGGATCTAGCTTATTTGTAAGCAGACTGTTGGTTCCTTACCTCTCATGCAGATGCACTCTGACTTTGAGGAAAACACCTCTGATTAGCCACCTTCTTTAACATGCGTGTTTGGGGGGCAATGGATCTTTTCTTTGCTCTCCAAAATGAAGGCCTGGAACCTACACCTGGTGAATCATTAGTTATAAGGATAAGAAGTTGGCAGTATACATACAACATGGGTAAAGAATACACACAGGTACTGAAATGGGAAACAAATGGAATCAGGAAGAAGGACCTTGAAGAGAAGCTCCTTACGAACATTGATAAGAGAGGTCAAAAGTACCAGAATAAGGTACATGCATAATATTGAAAGGATTTGCACAGTATAGATTTGAATGGAGGCACCAGCTCTAAACCTTTTATAACGTATAAACGGCACTTGATAGATGATGATGATGATTTTCTTTTCTATTTTTTTTCAGGCTGCCAGACTGGCTATTGAACGGGGATGGGCTATCAATTTGGGAGGTGGTTTCCACCATTGCTGTGGAGACAGGGGTGGTGGATTTTGTGCCTATGCTGACATTACCCTGGCCGTCAAATTTGCCATGGCACATTTTCAGAAAGTGTCCAGAGTCATGATCATTGACCTAGATGCACATCAGGTCAGAGTAATTATTCCCCCTGCAGCTGTTGCTGTTCTGTGTACTGTATTTATGCACGTAAAACATGAAATGCTGAATATGACTCAAAATGTGGCTAGAAAGCTCAATGGGGGGGGGGGGGGGGGGGGATGTGGGGGGGGAGAAGTGTGCACACAAACACAACTGAATGTTTCGACCAAAGTCTGTATCATCGGATTACTAAATACAGCACAAACTGTGACTAGAAAACTCAACAGGCAAGACAACAGAGCTGATTTGAAAAAAAAAAAAAAAAACGGCTCTTCTCCGAACTTCTACCCCAGCAGTAATGCGGCCTGAAATATCCGTTTGGGGCGCAGTCCAATTAAAAATATGCCGGCTCCGTATAATGAAACAAATGCTCTAACAGGGTCTCAGCGATATGTTACTTGCGGACCTGTTTCTTATTACCTGACAATTCTAGGAGACGCAACACTGCAGACGAAAGTAGATGACGACGATAATAGCGACCCTTTGACACTTTCCATTGTCGAACTTTCTGCCAACGAACAAATCGCAGCAAATCTAGGATCAGCGCGGAAAAACAAAACAAATGCTCTAACAGGCTCTCAGCGTTATGTTACTTGCGGACCTGTTTCTGTGACTATGCCTCACCGCCGAGTGTATCCTCCCAGGCCGCTACGAGCGGCGCATATAGGGGCTAAACTAGATGGCTGGGACTCACGAGTGGCAGCTACCGAATCTCCTGCAGCTTCCTCCAATTACTTTGCTCGTGAGTCCCAGGCACCTAGTTTAGCCCCCCATCTGCGCCGCGGTGAGTTTAATCACGTTTTGCGCATGCCGACAAGTCTGACATCTACCGCTGCTAAATTCCTCAATCGGAAGAACAGTGTTGCTAATATGCGTGGGAGTGCGTGGTCTACCCGCCATATCGCTGTCTGTAATGTCTCGAAATTGTCAACGGTCGATTTTATAGTCTGCTACTATCGTCTGCAATGTTGCGTCTCGTGACATTGTAAGGTACTCCTAGTTTTGCCGCAATTTGTTCCTCGGCGGGAACTCGACCAGTCCGTATTTTTTGGACTGCGCCCCGAAAGGATATTTCAGGCCGCAACATTGCGGGGGTAGAACTTCGGAGGAGAGCCTAGAAACCTGTCATGTATAACATGTTTTCCCAAATTTTAAAGCTTTAAAATTGGGGAATTTTATGCTTGGAATGTGTGTAAAAATATATTTCATAATTTTGATCTAAAATAATAAAGTTAGTCTTTTATATGAAGGCATCTTATGAACATAGAAAAAACAGTTAGTGTGGTAATTTCAATGATGATGCTAATGACTGAGATAGCTATTATGATTTTAGTTTGATAAAAAAAAAAAAAAAAAGCAGACATTTTGTCATTTCTTGTCTGTTTTGTACATTTGAAATGATTGGTCTTTTTCTTTTTCCTCTTCTTATTCTTATTCTTTCTTCACATCCTTCTCCTTCTTCTTCTTCGCATTCACCGACTGTGAACACAGGTGGAAAGTGCTAGTTGTTTAGTCACTTCTGGATTTTGGTCTCTCAGGACCTGAATGTTTTGAGGTGAAGTTACTAAGTCACAAATGGTTGTTTTAAAAAAAAAAAAAAACATTTGTAAATCTCTGTTTTATACTAAATCTTTATCTACATTGCTATGTTTGTAAATCTCTGTTTTATTCTCAATCTTTATCTACATTGCTATGTTTGTAAGTTTTATACTCAGTCTTTATCTACATTGCTGTAAATGGTTTGTCAGAATCTCTATTTATGATTATTCTCCAATCTTTATCGAGCTGTATGTGGACTGGCATTGCCCTGAAAAGCTCACTGACACGTTTATTTCTCAATTCTTCATAAGGCATCTACATTGAATGAATCAGCATTCAATTTGTCACTTTTGTTTTGTTGTGTTTGTTGTTAGGAAAACTGTTAAAAGCACTCCTTTTACTGACAGCATAACCTTCCAGTGGTGGTGTAATTTATTTATTGCTATGTTTGTCAATGGTTCTGTTTTGAAGCACAATTAATTCAGCCTTGGTAATCATGTTCAGCATGTCTGCTTATGTATTGACAAAATCTCTGTTATTTTTTGTTCATCTGTCAATTGTCTGAATACCCACCTCAAGCACACTTTCTTAGATTTCAATAGATCTTGCATTATGTTGTGTGCGGAACCATGAGAACTCTATTGTAGCTGCTACTGAGTCCACCGTTACTCGCCTGTCACCTCTAATTATCTCCTCCACTCCCTGCATGGATACGTCTGTTGCAAGCTCAACAGGACGACCAGATTGGACTTCATCAACAATTTTAGACTGTCCTTGAGAAAATGCTTTTACCCAGCTAGCACAGCCATGGGCCATTTGTCAGCAATAACAGGGTTCCTATCTATTAATGTCCTTTTTCGTCGCACAACAACACTTTTTGGATTTGAAGTACAGTCGCCATATGGTTTCTGTGCTTCGACTGCACATGCAACACCTAGCGAAAGAATGAAATAAAGTTTGATGTTGCTGTCACCTAATGACACTTGTAAAAACCAGCAGCTACATTTTTCTTGCCATCCCATAACCATTTGTGATTTATTTATTGACCTCTCTTCATACGTGCAAATCTTATTTACAGATCTACCCTATTAGTGTGCAGACTGTTGGTTCCTTGTCTCTCAGGCAGAGACTTTCTGACTTTGAAGGAAAAATTGATACTATCAACTTTGGATAGGTCCCGCTTGATGAATCGCAGAAAAGTGTAGATAGGCCTCGACCTGTGTGATCCCTGGTCCCGGTTCACCACCACATGAGGTTAAGCACCTTTGCATACCCTTTGTCAGCACTGGAACATAAGCAGATTTCAGCAAACCCTTAATTAGTTGTCTTGTGTAATGGTTGTTAAGGGAGCAGTTGTTCTATTCCCCCCTCCCTCACCCCCTTCCCTTTTTTCCAAACTGGGACCTCAGCACTCACATGGGGAGATAATTCGTTTAATTCTATTTAGACACCAGTTAATGTAGGTTTGTAGTTAATTATTGATTGACACAACCTTTTTTTTTCTCAGTTTCAGCTTGATACAGCAGGGCTGATTTGTCATTAGAGTTACATTTGAAAATTTGGAACTAGTTTTAATGTCTTTTGACTTAAAAGATTTCATATTGCAGTGAAACCTCCTACTGCAATTTAAATTTATGTTTGTAAATCTGTGTTATTCTCCATCTTTATCTACATTGCTATGTTTGTAAATCTCTGTTTATTTTCTTATCTACAGTGCTTTGTAAATCTTTTTTATACTCCATTCGCTATAGATGCTTCGCGGATTTTGAATCTCTGTTTTGCTCCCTCAATCTTTTTCTACCCAGGTTGCTAGCCTTGATTGGGTAGCCGGGGCAGTAAATAAAGGCGTTTTGATAGCTGACCACATGGCCCATCTTGTGCTGATTGGTCTATAAAAATATAGGTCTAGCCCTAAATGCCCTATAAGCTTAAAGGCGTGGAAAAGGGTCCTTTGCTTTGCTTACTTTTTTACTTTTGTACTTATACTCCATGTTTATCTACATTGCTATATCTGTAAATCTCTATTTTATACTCAATCTTTATCTACATTGCTATATATAAATCTCATGTTGTATAATCTCTACATTTATATCTGTAAAAAAATCTCTATTTTATACTCAATCTTTATCTACATTGCTATATTTGTAAATCTCTGTTTTATACTCAATCTTTATCTACATTGCTATGTTTGTAAATCTCTTTTTAGACTCCATCTTTATCTACATTGCTATATTTGTAAATCCCTGTTTTGTGCTCAATCTTTATCTACATTGCTATATTTGTAAATATCTATTTATACTCAGTCTTTATCTACATTTCTAAATTTGTAAATCATTGTTTTATCTCAATCTTTATCTACATTGCTATTTGTAAATCTCTGTTTTATACTCAATCTTTATCTACATTGCTATATTTGTAAATCTCTGTTTTATACTCAATCTTTATCTACATTGCTATATTTGTAAATCCCTGTTTTGTGCTCAATCTTTATCTACATTGCTATATTTATAAATATCTGTTTATACTCAGTCTTTATCTACATTGCTATATTTGTAAATCTGTGTTTTATACTAAATCTTTATCTACATTGCTATATTTGTAAATCTCTGTTTTATACACCATCTTTATCTAGGTTGCTATATTTGTAAATCTCTATTTTATACTCAATCTTTATCTACATTTGCTATGGACATGTATTTATGACTACATGTCACTGTCCATGTTTTGCTGCATATTTCAGTGCTGATTTGATAGTAAGCTTGCGTTTTTAGTTTTAAAAATTTTTTTTTTTTTTTGCAGGGGAATGGCTATGCTAGAGATTTTATGAATAATGCCCACATTTATATCTTTGATGTCTATAACAAAGATATTTATCCTAATGACGCCTACGCTAAAGGTATATTTTCTTTGTCATTTTCTCTTGTCTTAAGTTTTACTCATTTATTTTTAATTATACATGGCCCCTTTAAATGAAAACCTTAATAGTGTGATAGAAATTACTGCAACACCTGCCATTGTTTTGTAACTTGTCAGTATTGTTCCTAAGGATGTCAAGAGTGTTAGGCATGCAACATCACCTTACAAACGAACATGGTGACGTCATAATGCCAGTTTGAAGATGGCCATTCCACTTTTGACATTCACCACAAAGTCATCTTTAAACTGTCATTATGATGTCACCATGTTCGTCTGCATGTAGATGTCACACTCGTGACACCCTTATCAGAAGTGTTGATGTTGTAATTGCTCAGTTTATAGGAGCACCATTGGCTCTCGGATTCAGAGAGTTAAGGCTTTAGAAAGCAGAGAGACAGACCTGAGGATGTTGTTTATGGCCGCATGAACATGAAAATAACTGATACAGGCATGGCATGCATATCTTTGTTTTGTGTAGGCATAAGGTCATCAAAGAAGGCAGAGATTGTATAGAAAATTAGGATGTGTAGAGGACTCAGTTTGTTATATTGTTAGTAAATTTCATACATTTGGCAGAAACAGTTTGAAGAAAAAATAGTGGGAAATTATGTCCTGAATGACCCTTGTAATTTCCGGAATTTTCTGGGAAGGAAAGACCTATGCTGCTCCCATCTTTTATGTCGTGACCTAGAATGTGTGACAGCCTGATGCTACACACCCAAATGGCAGTATCTGCTATAGGACACCTTTAATCTTAACCCTTCCCCTCTCATCCCCCAAAACACTATAATATGGGCCATAAACCTGTGGCAATTACCCGAAACATTTCTAAAAACAAGTTTATACAGGTCACTGATTGTGACGAGGTGCTTCGGATGCTCTCCACGCATATAGCGAGCAAGGCAGGAAACCCAGGCGCCAAGTGACCGCACGGGATACTTGGGGCCAGATGAGTAGACGTGGGCAGGCCCCAGCTAGACTCGTGGTCAGTCGCATCAGAGAATTTAAGGAAGTCAGTTGTCTTATTAGAAAATGTAGTAGTTTTATTAAAGGAGATAGTTTCAATGTTGTGTGGATGACTAGTGTTAATAGTCGGTTAGAAGATAGGGAAAAATAAACTGATAGCTGGTACAATGGAAATTGTGCGTCGTTTGTGTGTTATAATCCCTGGACGGTAGAACAAGTGCAAGACCCAGGTAAATACAACAATCTCACAAGTAGAGCTGTGGCAATCAACAATAATGCTCACAACTATATTACACTGATGAATTTGTTAAAAGTCAATTTGTGTACTTTTGTTTTTGGAATTATATAAAGATATTTAAAGGGAGTAATCAGTAAACATGAGCGGAGTGCAGTATTAAAATAGAATACTTTCCCTGAGGCCCCAAAACATATTTCTATGGGGTGACTCATGCTGTGACCCCCTGACCTCTGTCACTGAGGCTTACAGGAAAATTTTTACATTAACTTAGCTAAGCCCCCTGAACTAATCTTACAGGAGTCCTGAATGTTTGAGTCAGAGCTTTTTACTATCACAGTTAGATCCCTTACCCTTAGTTTTTCTGTACTAGTAATACTTCTAAAGTTATGAAGCTGTAAAATTAGGGTTGAAATGACTAGTAAATTATTGAAATGAAAATGCTCATAATTCAACTTACATCAAGTATTTCTTAAAGCTGGTGGTAGGGGACCTAGCTGTCATTGTTTTAAAGCTGAGTGCCGACGCTTATTCATTTATCTTCAATAGTTTAGAAAAAACACACACCAAAAGATCAGTCACACCCCCTAAGGTTTGGCAAAGTTTTCAAACAATTTTAAAAGAGAATAATTACACCAATTTATAATCACAATATCTCAGGTTATGTTGAAGAGGTAGACCAATAACAAGATGGAAGGATAACATCCGAGAAACTCTACAACAGCACGATGTGCCTATGGTCGAGGCGGCCAGAAGAGCTAGAAACAGAACCTTATGTCTCCCCCCCCGACACCCACAGCGGTAAAAGAGGAAGTGAAGAAGAAGAAGAAGATACATGTACACACAAAAGCTGTGGCAAATTTGTTGCTTCTGCCGGACAGTGGCCGATGCATTTTTGCTCCATTTGTAGTTTTGTCTCCCAGCTTCTGAGTTGAATGCATGACGTGACACTGTGAGCTGCGGATTTCATTTGGAATGTTTTTTCAACTGTGACCAACGTGGTTGTGTGAATCGTAGATTCAGAAAATGGTGCCTGTTGTCGTAATGTTGGTGGTGCCCGTATGTGATTAAATTGATCGCGTGGGCAACTGCTGATCTGTTAGTGACTTCTACTGCCATCAATGATGAACTGCATTTCTAATGTCGGACTGTTTGTGTTAGCACTTCGGAGGGCTACTGTATGCTCTAATGCGTGTGTATGCTAGATATGCTGAGACAGCAGTCTGTCAATCTTTCCACAAGGGACTGTGTGTTTTTCATTGGCACAGGAGCGGAGCAAAGATGGGATGACCTGTTTGCTATGAAGCTGAAACTAAGACTACCAGACACACAAACAACCCTCACTAAATTATATAATATATGGTATCTTGTTTAGTGAAATTATATAATACATGGTATTTTATTTTGTGAAGTGATGTAATACTCATCACATAAGTGGCTAGATGTCTACCAGCTGGCCCAAAGGTCTAGGGTTTTAGTCTGCTGGATTCATTGGGTTCATTTACCATACATACTTTTGTGTTGTTGCCTGCTGCTAATGTGATGTATACTGCTGTATTAAAGTAACATTTTTCTAGATGGAATGCCATTGTGGTTTGGAAAGAGGAGTGCTTGAAAGGGCGGATTTAAGATGGGCCTGTGTGCCCAATTTGTGACCCTCTGAAGATAATATTTTAAAAAAAATAATTAATAATACCTAATTCGTTTGTTGTGTGTCCATGCAGATTTTGTGTTCAGAATTGACCTTGGCTCTTAGGTTGTTCCAACCTAAAATGGTTACTAGATAATGACCTGGGCAGTAAAGGCTGCTAGTGTGATGGTATCGTCACTCACAGAAGGCTGGGTGGCCTCTAAAAATATGGGTCTAGCATCATATGCCCAGTGTTCTTAGTTCCAGGGCTCTAGTTTGGGCGAAAGGAATAATCGACTATCTGCACATTAACAAGTATATTCTAAAGTTAGTTGTGTATCCTGTACAGGACGTTGCGGAAACAACCCTAGCATTTTTTGGCTGTTGTAGTTTTTTTCCCAGGGAAATTTTACTTTCAGTAGTTTGCCATTGCTACTGAACGGTCAGCTCTCGGTGCTACTGTTGAAACCAATGCAAGACAAGCTGTCCGCAGCTGGGATCGAACCCGGCACCATGGCATTACAAAGTGCATTCGCAACGTCTAATATGCTAAAAGGTGACTAATTAAAGGTTTGCTGAAATTCATACGTGTTAGGCTGAAATGCACAGATATCGCAGGCTAGCTGTAAATCACAGTGTGCCAGCTGCTTTTTTTAAGGGCACCTGAAGAAAGAAGAGGAATAGGCTTAATTGTGTATGACGCATAGCTTATGCCCTAGATGTAATAATTTCTCTTTGTTGACATTTTCAGCCACTTAGACATTGCCATTAGAGAGTTTAATCCTCATCTAGTGGTCTACAATGCTGGGACAGACATTCTGGAGTATGATCCGTTGGGCAGTTTGTGTATAACTCCAAAGGTAATATTGTTAATGAAAGTTCAAGTCATGAGGATTAAATTCATTGCCCTGGCTTCCTCATTTGGGTTAGACCCACTGTCTCCCCAACAAGCACGTCGTAGGAGTCGACTATTTGGGAGACATCCTCAAAGTCGGAGTACATCTGCCTGAGAGTCACGGAACCACGAGTCTGCATACAAATAAGCCAGATCTGTGAAACGGATGTGCATGCAGCACTCGGGTTCTGGAACAAGACTAAAGTCAGGAGGTGGACAAACACCCAGAGCTTTCCGCTGGAGTTTCACAGCCAGTGAACGTGAAGAAGAAGAACAAGAAGATTGTCCTGGGTGTTATCCCAGATGGCTGTCTCTCTCTGTTTGCAGAATCGCTAGTTGCCTGTTGAGGACGTCGTACAAAACACAAACTCTGCAGCTCAAGTGACAGTCCACAGTGTACTCATGAACCTGTGACCTTCAGAGCATGAGGTAAATGGCTTGACTACCTCACCACGTTGACCGACCCCCCCCCCCCTTCCCCCCCCCTTTCCAGAATTAATGTTGTAACATAGTGCATGGTTGTGAGTGATTGAACAGTGCAAGATTTTGGGACATTGTTTAGTTGCATAATTGCCTTTGAGAGTCTTCGTTCTTGAGATGTTTAAATGAAAGGCAAGACAGTCATACACTCGTACTTCTGCTCCTATGTTCAGAACTGGAACTCTGCGCTGAACATGGGGATGGAATGCTTATGGAAATGTTCCTAGGACTCAATGCTTAACCCATTTAAAAAAAAAAAATTTCTTACCATTCTGCAGAAAGATCGAGCCAAAAAGAGTTAAAACCGATGCCATGAGGTCGATCCTCTCGACTGTAAGGCATTTGTTTTACTCGTTGCTGAAGTTATAATTGATCAGTGCAGGAAATATAGTGCCATGTTTGGATACTTGTCATTGAGATTATGATTGATTGATTAATTCTGGGAAGACTAACCCGGGCAACTTCTTCTTCATTGTCTTCACCGGCTGTAAACTCTGGTGGAAAGTTCTGGTTGTTGTCAGACTTTCAAACCATCCAGCATACTCCAACCTATCTGATTTCAGAAAACCGTTAATTAATTGGTTTTGATGACATGGTTACTAAGGACCAGTGTGTCTGTTCTTTGTTTCCCCCAAAATGGAGCCCTGGAACTGAAACAGGGAGTTAATGTACATTCTTCTTCTTCTTCTTCTTCTTCACTTCCTGTTCTACTGCTTCTAGTGTCCCGGGAAATATAAGGTTCTGCTTCTTGGTGATCAGTCAGCTTCACCCATAGTCACTTGTGCTGCTGTAAAGGTTCTCTGATGTTATCTTTCCATCTTGCTGTTGGTATACATTGTGCTCGGGGCTGCGTGGTCTCAAGGCCTTGAGTTCTAGAGGTTTCGGTTTCAAACCCCAGCAAGGGCTGAGATATTTTCACGTAGACTTGGACTTCTAGTAATCCCCCTCGGTCTTTGGGTAGTGAGGTCGGACGCCAGTGTGCATTGTTGTGCACGTAAAAAAAAATCCCTTGGCAGTTGAAAATCGAAAAGAGTAGCATAACAATGCTGCCCGGGCAAAATTTTGAGTTTAAAATCTACTTTAAGTATTTCAGGATCCTCACCAGTGCTACAGAGCCTGTGCACTGTGCTGAGCTTCTTCATACTCAGACTTGAATAAGAACGGAGCATTTATGGGTTACTACCTATGTGTTATGATGTTGATCCATTGTTCAAACCTCAAAACATACATTGTATTCTGCGTCCTTTTCTTTTGGGCTGTGCCCTTCTCTTTTGGTGAATGCCTTGTATGGTAAGGCGTAACAAGGTTTTCTTAGTGGGCAAACCATTTCATTTGCTATCTTTCTATGCAGTTTGTGATTAGTTCAGTGCCGACTTTTTCTTCTGTGACCTCATTACTCCTTTTATCTCTTCTTGTCACTCCTGCATCCCTTTTCAAACATCTCATTTCCCTGGTTTATTTTCTTTTATGCTTTGTACTGAGTGACCATGTCTGGTGCTGGCAGCATAGAGTGGGAATGAATATGCTTTGTATGAGATGTTCATTGTGCTTTATATTAACTTTTCACATACATCACGTGTAGATATCTATCAGCATGTTCTTTGAAACAACAGCACAGAATCAGATCTTGTATGCACTTCTCTACAGGGTGTTATGGAGCGAGACCGACTGGTGTTTGAGAAGTGCAAGTTACTCAGGATCCCGATTTTTATGTTGACCAGCGGTGGTTACTTGCCAGAGTCAGCGAAAGTGGTTTCAGACTCGATTTTAAATTTGTGGAGACAGGGCCTCATCTCACATGAAGTTTCCGCAGAAAATCAGGGTGAGGTCAGAAATATCAGTAGATAAGGTTGTTGTTACCTGTGTGTAGTATATGCTGTGATTTACAACTGTTTGCGTCTTTCCAGATAATAGTATTGTATTGTGTTGTAGGGAGGCCTGAGAGTCACAGCCCGTGTTGATGGGCAGTTGAGGCCAGGGATGAAGTTCCTTCTCTGCATAGTACGAAGTCTGGGCAGTATTGTAGAGACCGTGGGTTGCCCACTTGGTGTGATCTCTCTGTGTCGTCCAGCCTTGCCTACTCCAAATAAAAATATATTAAATTGTTATAATAAAAGGAGTTGTTTATTGCACTTGAACAGTGAAACATGCTAGAAGGAATTAAATGGTACTTTAGGGGTCTCCATTGGTAGTGGGGTTAAGCCATTTGCCTGATGCTAGGTTGTTGTTTCTGGTGTTACCTTCCTTTTGGAGTAAACAAGGTAGGCCAAGTGAGAGATCATGATGCATAAGCAACACATGAGCTTTACAATACTGTCCAGGCTTTTTGCTACAGAGAGGAGGAATTTCATTCCTGACCTCCCCATAGCACAATATAACACTTCTCATCTGGAAAGATGAAAGGGGGGCCAACACAGAGGGTTGTTGGTTCAGTTTTAGACTGTAAGTTCTCCATTGCAGGTTTTTAGTAGATCTCAGAGAATTGTCACTGGTGCTGTGATATTTCATACTTTATGCGATGCTTTTGGCGGATGAAATGATTCTTTGCGAGGAGAGGCCAACAGAACATGGATTACTGTTGTGTCAGATCATGGGATGATTGCAAGGGATTTCAATATGTAACCTAAGGCAACACAGATATGACTAGAAAGTCCAATAAAGGGAAAGGAAAAGACGTGCACAAATGCAGTTGAACATTTCAGCCAGTGTCCTAATCAACAGATAAAACAGAAAAAGAAAATTTTAAACAAAAGTTTGTGTTTATTGAAGTTTCTAGGACAGTGAGGAAAAATTCAAAGTGGCCAGTGTTCTGTGCAGAACACAGAATGAAGGTAAAGAAATAAGAGAAATGTCTGGTCAACCACTGGTATCAACAATTAAAAGAGAGAAGCCAAAGGTGCTGGACTGGAGATTCCATCCATGATATCAAAAGAAGAAATGGAGAAATAGGACTGTGAGCCCTATGTAGTGTATCATGGCACAGCATGATGATGATTTTCAACCAGTTTTCTGTTCCCGTCTCTGTGCTGTCATTTTGTATTTATTCATTTTATGGATGCACCAGTGAACACTATTTTTGTTTTCTTGCTATATGTGAGCATAGTATGCATTGCTTTTGAAATCTGAAATTGTTGTTCGTTTTTACTTCTGAAGTGATTGCAGATCATTGTATATATAATAAATGCTTGTTAATAAATAGACCATATGTTTTGTTAATGCTTTAATTGTGTTTAATGGGTTTTTTTTAAAACGCTTTTTGTCTTATTAAAGCTTTGTTTGGTTGTTTTGAGTAGGACTTTTAATTGTTAGTTTAGCGGTTTTTTTCTCAACTTTTGAAATTTTTATTTTATTTTTTGTGTGTGCTTATTGTTTACAATGTTACTTAAGTAAAGTAAAGAAAGGGACTTTTTTTCTTTAGCCACTAGCGTTTCAGATTTGTGGTTGTAGCCTGCCTCAGTGTGGGTTCAAACCCAACCCTTAGGCCGAAAAGCTTATACTGTTACACTAGTTATAATGTTGGCACCTTGCTGAAGTTTTTGGTTAGTGCATTTGCAGGGCCATTTTTGTTATTTTCCAGTTTGCTAAAGACACAGTTGTCTCTGGAAATGTAAATAAACAGAAAAACAGGTATTTCATGGGGGGGGGGGGGGGGGGGGGGGAACCCAGTCAAATAGAGAGCTTCTGGAAAGACTTCGAGTGAAAAGAGAATTACTGACAGAAAGAAAAATGAGACAATTGAGATATTTTGGCCAAATTAAAATACAGAATCTTTTAAAAACCATACTGGAGGGACTGACCAGAGTCCAGGTGGTAGACAACAATACAAGTAGGAGAGCAGCACTGAGATATGGAGAAGCAGCAGTATGAGAGGGTGTACAACTAAGACAAGAAACCAAATGTTTTGGAGATCCATTGCAGCCAACCTTCATTATGGAGATGGCACTGGAAAGATTGATTGAAAGATATGTTCATTCTCACCCCCACATGGATCAGAATGAAATAATACTTTTCAAACCACTGCACAACTTTGATTTGCCATAATTTGATTTTAAAGAGAGATCTCAACACTCAAATTCGAGTCTGTCGAAACTGAGATTTAGTGCTTGGGTGACTTTGACAGTATTTGAGGATTGTGTTGATAAACTGAGATTTAGTGCTTGGGTGACTTTGACAGTATTTGAGGATTGTGTTGATGATTACAAGATTTTGTTTTAGAAAATAATATATATATATACATATAAACATACACTGACTTTGTCCCCCAGTTCATTAGTCGTATCATTAGACCAGGCTCACTGCAGACAGATTGCCCATCATTGCTCTGTTTCTGTGCCAGTTCAAATCACAAAATGTCTTTCACTGTTCCATTCAACAACTAGTGGAAAACAGGTCAGTCCCAGTAAAATATTGAAGCTTGCATATGCAAAGTAAAGCATAAGGCAGCCATCAGATGTGCCAACACTAACAATTCCACACCAGAATTGGCTAGAAACAAAAAACTTTTTAGTGTCAGCTGTGAGCCAGCGATCTGCCATATTGTGCTGAAAGTCCAAGGTTGACCGAGACTAAAATGGATACAAGATCTTCTTTGTCTTCTTCTTCGTCTTCTTCTTTTTCTTCTTCTTTGCATTCACCGGCTGTAAACTCCAGCAGAGCGTTCTGGTTATTCATCCACCGCTGGACTTGTTCCATAACCTAGGTGTTGCATACACATCAATTGTTCAGATGTCATTATTATGTGTGCAGTTTGTTGGTTTCTTGCTTCCCAGGCAGATGCTTTACAACTTTGAAGGAAGCCCCCAATTAGTTGACTCATGACATGCTCATTGAGGAAGCAGCGAGTCTATTCTTGTTTGCCCCACACTTCGGCCCCGAAACCCACAAGGGGAGGTACCAGATAATATTTTGGGAAGTAAAGGTGGCCGGCATGATGTTAATCACATTATACATTGAGTGCTAACATTGTCTGTAGAGATTTGAGTCATCATATGGTCAGTCAGTGTGCTTCTGGCATAAAAAGGGTACTTTGCTTACAACTTTGTGCACAATACACCCCTAAAGATTTGGAAATGGGTCCTAGCCAAATAGTATTGTTTTGCTGTTACCCACATTGTGGTTTTATTTGGTCTTTTCAGCAGTGCTAGAGGAATGTTTTGAGGACGCATCATAACAGCCCAGTAAAGTAACTTCAATTTTTTTCTTCCCAGAACATAACAGTTCTTATGCATTTTTTGCTTTTTTAATATTCTGCATAACTCAGCAATTAAATGCTCCAAAACTGTGCATTTATATGCTCCCCAACTCTTTTATATATATTTATATACTTTACAACTCTTTGCATATCGGTATGCTTTATAATTCTGTGCATGTTAATATGCTTTACAACTCTATTCATGTTAACTTGCTTCACAACCCTGTACATTTCAATATGTTTTGCAGCTCTGTTCATGTTAACCTGTTCAACAACCCTATGCATGTTAACATGCTGTGCAACTCTGTCCATGTTAACCTATTCAACAGTCCTGTTCATGTTAACCTGTTCAACAGTCCTGTTCATGTTAACCTGTTCAACAGTCCTGTTTGTGTTAACCTGTTCAACAGTCCTGTTTGTGTTAACCTGTTCAACAGTCCTGTTCATGTTAACCTGTTCAACAATCCTGTTTGTGTTAACCTGTTCAACAGTCCTGTTCATGTTAACCTGTTCAACAATCCTGTTAATGTTAACCTGTTCAACAGTCCTGTTCATGTTAACCTGTTCAACAGTTCTGTTCATGTTAACCTATTCAACAGTCGTGTTCATGTCAACCTATTCAACAGTCCTGTTCATGTTAATATGCTTGACAACTATGTGCAATGTTTCCTTAGCTCCTGTAGTTTTCAATCCTTTATACCCTATTGTTTTTATATAATTTTGCATATTTTGTGTTGTGCATATTTTTGAGATTTGTTTAAAAGTAATTTACATTTCGCCAGGACAGAATATAATTACTGATGAGAAAGTCTTTTCCTTCTTCTTGTTCTCCTCCTTCTCCTTTGTTCAGTGCACACTCGTCTGAGTCCGAAGAAGCTCTGCACAGTGCACAGGCTCTGTAGCACCGGCGAGAATCCTGAAATACTTTGTTTACATTTTTAACTCCAAATTTTGCCCGGGCAATGAAGATGGTGATATATTAGACATATCCTGAGAAATAATGAGTAGAATATCATCAAACAGGCACTGAAATGGTAAATAGATGGACTGAGGAAACAAGGACGTCTAAGAGAAGCCTAACGTGATGAGAGAAGCCAAAGGAGCTAGACTGCACTGAATTGAAAGATGAGTCGACTGCAAGTCCTATGTGACATACAGTGGTACAACAGCACAATGAATGTAGGAATATGGTTAAATTGGGTTTCAGGAATGTTCATGTTGGACTGGCATCTGAAAACTGGCTTTTCAAACTACTGGTTGTCAGCCTCCAGCTTGCTGTCCTGGACAGGTAATTAGAAAAAGTGCTGATCAAAATTAAAAAAATAATTTTTTTAGCAACAATTAAAAAAAAAATGTTCAATCGGAAGTCTCCTTTGAAATAAATTATGATATTTATTGTTCTCTTTTTTATTTTTGTTTGAATTTTCTTGTATTTAATTTTTGAAACAAGTAATAAAGTAATGCTTTTTATTGATTTTCAATAATGGTGTCCTTTGGAGTGAGAATGCATCTGCCTGAGAGGCAAGGAACCAAACAGTAGACATACAGATAACTCAGATCTGTAAAATGGATGTGCACACAACGCTCAGGTTCTGGAACAAGTCTAAAGTCCAGAAGTGGATGAACAACAAGAACTTTATGTCAGAATTTACAGCCAGCGAATGTGATGATGACGATGACCATGAACAATGGTATGGAGAGCTAACCATTGAGAAAGCAATACAAAACTATTGAACTTTAATTACCTTGTAAAACCACAAACAGCTAAAAATGCTGGGGCTGGTTTGCAGTTTCCTGTACGGCAGTGTTTTTCAAACTTTTTTTACCCCTGCGGCCCACCAAAACAGGGGAATTTGTTTGGCAGCCCATCTGACAACTAACCAAATGCAGAAACGAGAATAAAAGTAGATAGTAGCTTATTTGTTAGATCCTATGTCACAAAATTAGAATTTTCAGCAAATACAACATCTGCTGCTGCTAAGAATATGCCCGAGAGTGTCGGAGTATAAGCTGTTTTATGCACTTGAATGAGAGGTTTCTGAGATTTATACGTATTTCATTCTCATTTGAGTGTTAATCCTGCAGACTCAATCTTGAAAGAGAATAAAAGTACCTACCTACGATTAGACATACATTTTTGGCAGCTCACCAGTGGACCACGGACCACCAGCAGACTGCAGCCCATCAGAAAGGCTTATCAGCTCATCAGTGGACGGCGGCTCATTAGTGAACCTCTGCCCATCAGTGGACTGCAGCCTACTGGGTTAAGAACTCTGCTTTAAGGGATACGCAACTAGTTTTTAATGCTAATTTGGTCATTGAGTTGTTGCTGTTCAATTCATACAGTTTTTATTTTTCCTCGAAACTATTTAAATCTTTACATTGTTCCTTTTCTGCTGACTTTCACTCTTCATCGAGCATAGGCTCTCAACCAAATCATGTCAAGACCCTTGAAGTTTAAAGCTGAAGTTTTCTGTAGGATAAGGTAGCTGATTTCCATGCCACACCTCCCCAATCATTTCTAATGATTTGCAAGGTAGGTTATAGTTGGGGTTTTCTCCCTGGAAATACGCAACAGTACCCAATACCAGCACCTTTGTAAAGGCATTTTTGTGATAGAAACTTTGTGGTGACTACTGGTACCCTTTTTTTTCTAGGGGAAAAAAAAGCCCTAGTTATAGTGTCACTGTTACCTTTCCTTGTGGACATCAGTAACAGTAAGACAGAGACAATGATGATAGGAAGACATAAAGACAATTTAGAAATAAAATTAAAAAACAACACCCTGAGACAGACAGAGGAATTTAAGTGTTTGGGAGCAATTTTCACATCCGATGGAAAACTGGACAGAGAAATTAGCTCCAGATGTGCTAAAGCTAATCAAGTAATGGGGAAACTATCTCCCCTGATACCTCGGAGTACTAAAGTGAATCTCATCAGAACTCTTTTTTGGCCAGCACTATGCTATCAGTGGACACTTACATTCTCCAATGAACGTAAAATTGTGACAACAGAGATTAAATGCCTTAGAAGAGCTGCAGGAGTTTCAAGGAAAGGCAGAATACGAAATCATGAAATCAGACGAATGCTAGGAATAAAGCCAGTCTTACAGGTTATCAAGGAACAACAAATGAAGTGGTTTGAACACCTAACAAGAATGCCCTGGTACTATTTGCCACAGCAAACCACATTAAAACGTTACAACGGGTATAGAGCGAGTCGAAGACCTCGGAAAAGATATAGTGGTGGCATTAAGAACAGCCTTACAAAAAAAAACATCAGTCCTAATAGCGCTTTTGACAGAGCTCATCAACGAACATTACATCTCCCCCCGACACTTCGATGAGGTACAAGGTGGAAGAGAAAAAGAAGAAGAAGTAACAGTAAGATATTTTCCTGCTCTCAGTCGGGGCTTCCAACATTATCATAAACAGGTCACCATATAATTCCTCAGTTCAAAATTGTCCATCACTGTCTTATGCGAAAAATCAGACAAAAGGAATCCTCACACAATCCAACAGCTTGCATTTGCATTAAATGCCTAAAGCAGCTGCCAGAGGTGCCAACATCTACAGTTTGTCACCTGAATTGCTATTCATAGTTGATGGAAGCAGCAGTCATGGCAAATCAGCAGGTGCACATGCATTACTGCATAAGGCACACCAACAGTTCTGTGGTAACCAGCCACTCGCCACTTTCTGAATATGCAGTTTACTCACAACTCAAAGAGTCGCACTGTTCACTCAACTCTGAAGATGGTTTATGGAGCTGGATTTCACCTTTAACTTGTCTGCTGTCTCTTTCACTTTTCCGTTGGGGGCTGAAAAGGAAAGCACCTTTATCCACACCTTCAGACATATTGAACATATAGGGCTAGACCTCTATTTATGGACCAATTAGCACTTGGTAGATGATGTGGTCAGCATCACGCTGACCGTCTTTACTTCCCAGGACTTTACCTGATACCCATTAAAGTCTTTTACAAAAAACAAAAACACCCAGCACCTTTCAGATTTGAACCAACAATGTTCAGATCCACAGGTGAGTGTCCAGGCGCTACACCACGGGGGTTCCCCAAGGCAGATGATTTCATTGTAAATACAACAAGAGCAGATGCTGGTAACTCCATTTAATCAGAGTTATATTGGGGCGCCCTACAGGGAATGAAACAACCTACTGTCCACTGTGGGTGGGGTGACTGTAAAGTGGTATGAGAAAAAAATCAACCTACACCACTATCTTGGAAAGTAAGCAGACTAATTACTATGCCACCACATCTTTTAGGTCAGGGGTCTCCAACCTGGAACCTGGGGGGAGGGGGGGGGGGGTCAAGCAATTTTTAAAATGAGTGTCTTTCAATAATCAGCTATACTAATATTTTCCCCACATTCTATTTTGTTATGTGGGGGAGGGGGGGGGGGGGGGTGAGACATTGAGGTCTTGCCTCGCTCTTCTTCTTCGCGTTTCCTGGCTGTAAAGTACAGCAGAAAGTTCTGGTTGTTTGCCCACCTCTGGACTTTAGTCTTGTTCCAGAACCGGAATGTTGCATGCAGATCTGTTTTACAGATCTGACTTAATTGTATGCATATTGTTGGTTCCTTGCATCTCGAGCAGAAGCATTTCAACTTCAGGAAGGAAAAACCCCCCCCCCCCCCCCCCCCCCCCCCCCCCTCCTCCTTTCTCTCCAGTTAGTCGACTCTTATGACATGCTTGTTGGAGTGGCAGTGGGTCTGTTCTTGTTTTACCCACAATGTGGCCACAGAATCCACACAGGGATTGCCACGTACTGAAGGGGGAAGCCACCATAAAAACGTTAGAGACTACTGTTCTAGATGTCAGTGTAGGAATAACTCAAAGATGTGGTTACAGTTAACTGATTGTTGGGTCCATTCTCAGACCATCATGCTATATTTTCCATTATAGAATAATGTATTTGAATTTGACTTTTAAGCAGATAAACCCATTGCTATCTCTTTCAGTGACTCGGTCTTTTATAGGTACCAATAACCGCACAAATATATATTTGTTATCTATCCCAGACAAGTTTTTTGCTGTGTCTTATTTAAGAGTTATGCTTTTAATAAGTTCATTATCATTTTCAGAATTAGAAAACATGTGTTTGAAACAGTTTCAGGGCTTCAGCACATTTTCGGCCCGTACGTGTGTTTGGAACATTAATTTCCATGGCCAGTTGAACATGAAATCAGAAAATGCACTGTATGAAAATAATGCTAACAATGAATCAGATCAATTTGCACCCAAAAATGTGCGAACAAAGACTTTTTTACAAAGAAAACATTAGAGTAACCTTCCCTGAAAAATGTAAGGGTAGTTCCAAACATTAGAAACAAATATGGAGCCATATGCGAATCAGTATGTACGGGACACACGATTGACACAGACAGTGTTGATTGGGGAAATTCAAAATTCTTAACACACACAGTGTTGCTGCTCGGGGCTCAAAGAGTTAATAATCATGTTATTAAAGGTTACTAGTGAAGAATTCACTGATTTTAAAATGCATTGGGAAAAAGACATTAAAGTTGCAGCCTAGCTGTAAACCACCACCCAATGTGCCAACCTCTCTTAATGGCAGATGAAGGTGAAGAAGAAATTTGTTTCTTAACATTTGTACTTTTAAGCAGATGTTTCCATTGCTATCTCTTTCAGATGCTGAAACTTCCAGCAGGTCAGGATTATGTGCAGGGTTCAGACAGTCGTGCTGTGCTGGGTCATCCCCTTCAGTAGAA